TGAGGGGCAGCACCGGGCCAGGTAAGGCCCTTCACTGAGCACCCTCTCCTTCCCCCCATGTCCGGATGCCATACCCTCACCCCCACCCCCAGAGAGCACTGGCCGACAGCCAGGGGTCTCTCTGGACCGAGAAGCTGAGGCTGGTTCTTGGGTGGCGTGCCTTGGCGCTGCTCTGCCTGGGTCTGGATGGCTGGGGTGAGGGGGAAGGGGCCAGTGGCCGGGGCAGCTGTGCGCATCATGTGTATTCATAACCGGCTGCTGCTCCCTGGGCTGGTAGGCAGGGGAGACCTGACGGTGAGTCACCTAGGGTCCTCTCACTATCTAGAGGGACACTAACTAGCAGGGAAGAAGGACTCTGTCCTCCAAACCTCCTCCCCAGAGACTCCCACTGTCAGCCTCCTGGGCCTCTCCTGGTACTTTCTCCTAAGACAAAGACGTGGCCATCTTCCCTTGGACTTGTATCCAGGGTAAAATATTCCTTTGTGGATAAAATACTCCTTTGGACCGAGGTTCCATCTGTGTGAGCCCTCCTGGGATGCTGAGGATTTGGCCAGTGTTGGATGGGTCCGTGTTTAATAGTCAGCTTCCCTGAGCAACTCCAACCCAACCCAACCCAACCCAACCCATAGCCAAGGAGTCGGCTCCGCATGGGTCAGGGAAGAATGATGGGGGTTGGGCTAGGGCTAATGTTGCAGGCGATCACCAGCTCTTTCTCGCCAGGCACCTCTGGTGGGACTTGAATCTCTCATATTTTAGTTAGCAGCCAAGTACAGTTGACCATCTGTGCCACACAGGGGATTCCTAAATAAAAGCTCCGATTTAGTGTTTGCCAATTTTTGTGGCCCTGACTCAGGACCATTTTCAGCTTCTTAATATGGTATCACTGAACACAGAGTGGGAAAGAGGTGATGAGGGTGGGTGCCCAGGTAGAAGTGAGGTCCCCTTAAAAGTTGCCCATTTTATAGAGGTCTAGATAAAGGCATGTACATATGCAAATATATTTATATA